ACAAAACACACCACAAGCCTCACCGAACATCTCCTTGCTACCGCAATCTCGCCCACAGGAAACCGCGACCGCGTGGCAGCAGAGAAAATGGCTACAGATCCGGTTTGTAAGTAGAGGCGGAGTTCGCATGTTTAGGTAAATTTTTGGGGCTGGGGCTGGTCGTATCTCGAAAAATTCGTAAGGAGGGGCGTTTGTAACTAGAGGTACCACTGTATATTAGATGGTTAATGTTCAAATTCAGCAGAAAGCAGCATCCTATATTCCTTCACATTGTGAGGTGTAATTAACATGACCAGTGGTATCAAAAAGAAATCATACCTCTGTGAAATATTTGTTCCAATACCATATGATGCTGCGCTTCCACCTAGGTATACTGGGCAACATCTACAAGAAATAAAATTGGGAGTCTTTAAAAACCACAGTCACATTATAAACATTTGATTTCTTAGGCTTTATTATCATAGTGAATGGGGGAATCTTTTCAACAAACCTATATTCCTGGAAGAATGATAAAGCAGGGCAAATCAGAATAAGTTTATGTGTATTAATCAACAGCAAAAAAAAAAAGTGCCCATTAATTAACAAATAATACTATAGAAGATTAAATTATGAAATTAAACCACTAGTCATAAAATATCAAGCACAGTTGAAATAATAAATGATGCTAATACTTAGAAAACTATCAGAGACGCAGACCTGGATCCAGATTAGGTTGGCTACTAAAGTATTGTGGCCTTTGCTGGCTTATTATGTTTGGAACTGTTGCCCATAAACTGAGAGTTACAGAACCTCTCTTACTGCCTTCAGATCATGCCACAAAACTCATCTTTTCTATAGAACCTGACCAACCTTAGGGGTACTCAGACTATTAACTTATGGAAACATTCTAGAACTCTGAAATTTATCAGAATGAGGTATAATTATTTATTATTTAGAATTAAGGCCTAGTAATATATTTTGAATATTAGAACTGAACTAAATTTATAGTGCCTTTCCAAACAAAATCCTTTGTTTCTTCCCTTTTTCATTGTATACATTTAACTCTATAATTTCAGGGGAAATTGAGTCATTTTGTTGTTGCTATGATTTCAACAATTGGGAATCAGTTTTTTTTAAAAACAAATTTACACATCCATTTGAGAACATCCAAAAATCTACCAGTAGTTCTTGATCTATTTGACATCTGGTTCCCCACTTGGCACCTGAAGGAAAAAACATGTCTGCCAGCACATTCTTTATGTTCACTGAATCTCCCTGTTTCCCTTAATTAAATGTTTATGATGCTCTTAATTTTAAAAATATGAATAGGAAGCTAGGATGCTATAAACCAAAATCCTATCCTCATCTTGTATTTTTACAATGCCTCTAGGCCCCACATAAAACCCAGAGGCACTCTTAGAAAATAAAATGGTGAGTGGCTACTGTCTAATCTTTTACTTTCTGGTATAAGGGCGTTGTAAGGCTGGATGCGGTCACAATGGCAACTATTTTGTGCCTATAACATAGTTCCAAAATTCCAAATGGCCCTGAAGGGTTGGGATCCGTATTCTCTAGTCTGCTGTAACTAAGACTGCATACTTCTCTGGGAATGAGTTTCACTGAACTCAGTGGAACTTACTTTTGTAAAGACAAGTATAACTCATAGTGGAAATTCCACTAATCATAATAGAATTTATTTCCATGTACAAGATTATGTTATCAGTCCATCCATCCTAATCTGTCACCCTATTCTCCAGATTCTTAGCCGGCAACCTTATGGGAAAGTGGAGTAACTGCAACTTAGCCTAAGCATGCATAGCTGAAATAACCACATGCTTTCCTTGCTTTCAGTTCCTTCCATATACAGTAATACCTCGGTTCACGAACGCTTCTGTTCACGAACAATTCGGTTCACGAACACACCGTTTGCAAAATTTTGCTTCCATCCGCGAACTCCGCATCGGGTGATGAACATGACCCGCGGCCATTTTCCCTGCTGTGACATGTGGTCATGGCTTCCTGTAGGGAGGGGGACTCTCCCTCCAAACAATAACTGCCTCCCCACCTGCCT